TCTATTAGCATTATAACTATAATATTATCCTAGAAGAACCTCTTCTAAATTACTAGAGTCCCCTCTATTTTTATAATACTAGGGAGCTCTAGGCTACTAAGGAATATATATAGGAGCACCTATAGAAAGGCTTTATTAAGACTAGTTAGAGCCTCTTTACCTTTTCTATCTTATATATTAAGAAGCTAAATAGAGGTCTTAGGATCTATATAGATTACTATAAGCTTAATAGCTTAACGTAAAAGGACGCGTATCTAATACCTTATATAGATAATCTATTATCTTAGCTAGCTAAAGCTATAATATTTACTAAACTAGATATTTATACTACCTTTAACAAGATCTAAATAGACCCTAATATAGAGGAGTATATAGGGTGTAAAGGGCTTAGGCTTACGCCTAAGCCTAGGTCTAACACAAGATGGACAGAGCCTAACTCTAACATAAGATAGATAGAGCCTAACTCTAACACAAGATAGATAGAGCCTAACACTACTACTAAGCGAACACGCTACACACCTATAAAAAGGCGTAGAGGGCTTACCTCTCCTTTAAGATACTAAATACTATTATTTACGCTTATTGTATTCTCCCTTAAGGCTAGTTTATAACATAGGGTAGTAAATAGGGATAGGTTAGGTTAGGGTTAGGTTAGCTTATATTAGACCCTAAACCTAACCTAAACCTAACTACAAATTTTCGCATAGGCTATAGACTTAGGTTAGGTTTAGGTCGCATAGGCTATAGGCTTAGGGTAGGGTTAGGTTATATAGACCTTAGGCTTAGGTTAGGTCTTATATAAGTAGGTTAGTGTAACGACTTAGGTAGGTAGAGCATCCAAAAGGTATCCTATACAACTTAAAGGTATATAGGAGTGCGCGTCTATATAGAAAAGGATAAGATTCCTACACCTATAGGTCTTATATAAAAGGATAAGAAGAATATACCTATCCTAACTATAGGTAAGCTGTTCTCTATATATATTAGTAAGTTAGGCCTTTATTAGGCCTAACTTAGTATAGAATAATAGGTAGGTAATTCTACCTTATTATTATACTACCCCCTCTTATAGATAAAGGATAGTCCCTATCCTTAGGATTAGGTTTAGATCCCTTATTAAAGAAAAGCTCTTACAAAATAAATCTACCTTTACCTCTGCCTTTACCTTTACTTCTTGTTCCTAGGGCACAGACCCCTATCCTTAGCCTACCTATAACTAGCCCTCTACCTACTAACTTTCTTATTCCTATATCCCCTATTTTTTAATTA